CTGTTACCCTTTTATGACACGCGGTTTTTAGTGGACGCGTTACGCGCAATAAAACGCGCGGACGCCGCCGCTTCTCTGCCAACGAAGATCGATTCGACGCGATCGACGATAAGCCGCGTGTATCATGCAGGTACCCGCTTGATCGTCGCGCAGAATTTTCGACCCGAGATTACGACGAATAAAACGAAAATTCTATTTCGAGGCACGATCAGTGCGCGCGTAAAACCCTGCAGCGTAAAATTCTTCGTTCGCTATTTGCGCGGGATGCGCCACCAATCGGGAATATCTTTTTACTATTATATTCCCGTTGTAAAAATTGTTTCATGTCGCTGATACGTGTCGTGGCTTCCGAATGTTCCTGCGATATGTAATCTTACGGTGGTTATCGTAATATTCCAATACATATAATAATTATATAAGTCAGTTAACTCTTTGGGACACGGTGGTATTAAAACCCGATTTAAGTTTCATTTAAGACCCGATAATATTCCTGTGCAACATGGGTCTATTTTTGATCTGAAATCCTGTGCCTCAAAGGGTTAAAAAGTTTTCTTTCCAGCAGTCGATCATGTTACGTTTCAAGTCCTTGACGTCCTCAAGCAACTTGAATGACTTTAAGATCCGTAGATCCCCAGTGACTTAGAGCGTTATAAAACCATGGACGTAAAAAGCGAGAGTCAGCTTAGGTTCCAATCGTCGAAATCCAGGTACCACTCCTTTTTATGGCACGCGTGCCCTTCCCTTTCCGCTCACTCAACACTCTCACATTCCGTACAATCGCAAGAAATTGTCATCCACTTTTAATTGACCATACGTTTCGGAAGTAAATTATAAACGTTCGAATTATGTCCGCCAGTTAAATGGATGTCTCCGACTGGTAGACCGTTGAATTTTGTAACGGCCGTTTGTCTCTGCCGGAGATAAGTCAGGAAAGGTCCGAAGGAAAGCGTGTGGGATAGACAGCGGAAAACGCTACTTGACCTTACTGGCCCGAATGACACGACCCTGCGGAATATTTCATAGCAATCTCCTTCCTTTGTGCGCGCTGAAAGCGAAAGCTCACCTACCTGAGAGACTGTCTTCCAACGTTGTATCCTCTTCCTTTCTGAACTATAGTTCAACTTCTGTCGGAGAATTGTTTATTCTTCGCTAACGAAGCTCACATGATTATTAACCTAACTTGAAAAACTTGTCTGTGAGATGTCAAGTGTGGAGACTCACCTTGATCTTGACCTTGACATTCAAGGCTACCTCTACAAGATTTAGTTATCGCTTTTTGTCATAAAGTTATTAAAATGGTTTTTACGTTTGGATACATTTGGAGATTGTGGGGTGAAATGTTCAAGGTATATTTGAGGTTATGTCCAACTATTTGAGGTTAATTTAAAGTTTAAAGCTACAGCTAATACATTTGACCTTCCGGAAAGAATTCATCCAGTAAGAAAGTAATACACTAAGAAATAGTAGTTAATGTAATGGCCGATACCGTATACTTGGCGTTTTAATCGGCGAATGGTTCCGGATAATTAAGGATTTTCAGGAGATAGAAGGTAACCTTGGACTCGCGAAGAAACAGAAAAGCTGTACCTCCACGGGTAACACGACGGCGTCTCTTCTGGAACCGTTTATCTCGCTCGTCCACTTTCCAGCAAGACGGATTTAACACTCCTGCTCTCTCGACCCGGCGAACTTTCCTCTCTTGCTTCGAAAGAAATACTATCGCGTCGGTGAAGATTGCACGGCGATTCGAATTTTCACGATCGAACAAACTTTCTGGTTGATTCCACTTATTCCGGCTGATTCGGAGTCACGGATTAATGTTCACTGATTTCTCCCGGGATAATCAGCCTCGATGACGGCTTTGTGCAATCGTTCGTGAAAAGGAAGCTTTAATCGTTCTCTCTTTCCACTCTCCGATCCTTTTGCGCATTATAATCTTTAATCCCAGGATGGCGAATCGCTCTCGGCAGCAGCAATTTCAATTTAATTACAAACTAACCTTAATTCCTTCGGACTTTGTTTTCGATACACATCGATTAAAATGTATTAATTCAGTGGGAGTCTGCAACGTTGTTAAATATTTAGTAAACAGGTTGTAATATTCTATGTCGTCATAGAGAGGCTAGCAATCGGACTAACAGCGCAGTCCAGAAAGTTTGAACGTCGACTATAGGATTGTACAGCGGTTAGAATCACAGTAAGACAGAAGTTCAGCAGCGTTACTTGCCAGGAATACGTAACATTATATCAAGATAGGCTACAAACGGCCCTTAAACTCCGGTTCAAGTCATCGGGCTAGCCTGCATAAGATAATATCCTAAGAGATGTAGTTACGGAACAGAAACAGATCGATCAAAGGTAGACAACTGCAATCCCGTTGTTCATTGTTCGAAACAGCATGAGAACCGTGCATAGCATGAACTCTCGACTGTGACTAATCATTTAGAATTAACGTCGCTGATGGAACACGAAGAAAGAAGAACGTAGGAAGTAAGGCGATACGTTTAATCTGTAAGCAAAGTGGGTATACGTCGGCCTCCGGTGAAGAAGGCGTGTCGAGGGAAGAAACAAGGACGTGGCACGACAAGGGGATGGAAAAAGGTTGCACGATAGCAAGAAGCGAGGACAAGGAGGTTCTGCAAGGAGGTTGCGGAATAAAAGGGCGAGGGAGCACGAAACGTTCCACCCTAAATTGTCTTACCGACGGGCTCGCCGCTAAAAATCAATGACATTTAGAGAAGAACCGTGGCAAGGGGTTGGGTAAGGGGAGTGTCGTGACTCGGCGACGAGCAAAAAGCGGATCCTGGCAAGCGAGACAGCCCAGAGGAGTCTTTTATTTCGATGGAAAGTAACTCTACCCGACGATCGTCCTTTCTTTTGTCCGACGCTCCAAGCCACTTAGAAAAATCGAAACCGAAAAACCCTGGCTTCGTCTAGAAACGGTAAACGTAAAAAATAAGTTTCCACGACGCGTAGACCTCGTTCGCGATTATTCCACCGGCGAACATCCCTCTCTATTTTTCACCGGCTTCGACGTACGCCGTTTGTCTAGTTCCCTTATTGACATTCCTGCCTGCACGCTTTTCCGCTTCGTCTTACGTTCCTCGGAGAACGGCGCAATAAGAGATAGGCCAGCGAGACAGGCGGACATTTATTATGCCGTAGGAGTCCCCGAAGAGCCGGTCGACCTCTCTCGATACAAAAGCCTCGCGAAACAGAAGGGCCGTGCTCTGCGAAGAAGCCGGTGAAAAGGCTCGAGGAGATGCGGCGTGGTTAATGGCGTCGTTCTACGCTCCGCTCGTTCAAAACGGGGTTGAAAGGCGGGATACAGATAGCAGCTGGTCGCTGTTCGCGATACGGTCTACGGGGTTTAACACGCGAACGACCGGGCTAACTCGTTCCCGCGTACAATGCTGTACTTGTATTTTCGAGATTATTAGAAGCTGACCGTTTATAAATATCCTGCAGGAACTTTTCTGTATGTTCTTTGTCAACTATGATCGTCGCGAGAAAGTTACAAATGTCACCCTGGAGAAATTGTAACTTCGAGGGTTGTTTAATGGATAAGAGACTTTTACAGATATTTGTTGGAAACATTGTGCAGGACTGTAATTTTATAGAAACTTTTCTTGAATAGAGCAAATACTTTTCAGGCTAATACACGACTATAATACGTTGTATTTCAATACGTGACAATTCACCCCTGGCGATTCAACGTAGCTCTATAACTTCTCGGGATTCAACACACCGCTTTGCAACACGTTATGAAACGCGGAGTTGTAAAACGTGCCAATATGGCAACGTGCCGCTATACAATGCGACTCCGTGACAATGTACTGCTATACAACTGCTCCACTGTGCAATATTTCGTTATGCAACGGGTCGATGTAGTAATACATCGCTATGCAACGTCTCTTCAGTGACACGTCGCGTTATTTTAGAGTTTAGAGAACGTAGAGTTACGATTCTAATGGGTGAATTAACAAGAACGGAGAAAAAAGGCAAAGTTGCGGTGGAAATAAAAAAGAAAGAAAAAGGTCGAAACAAAATGGCACATGACCTGGTTCGGACCGAACTAAACGAAGCACTCGACCGTCGCTGACGACTCGACGAGTTCCGCTTTAAAGATAACGAAGCGAGTTCTTCGCGGGGAATAAAGGTAGGTAACCGCTGCGGCACCTGTCGAGTGTTTGTCGTGAGACTGTCACCCCGACGGGAGCGACAGGTGGGTTCTCTCTTCCTTTCCCTCTTTTCTCTCTTCGGCCTCGTTCGTCATCCTCTCCGTCCCTCTCGCAGCTTCCGGTGTCTATCCTTCCTCGCGGTATTACCTTCATCCGTCTTTTTCTCCTGTCGTCTTCGTCCTTGTCGCGCTCGCGTAGCAGCCACTCGCTCGGGGGTGTGATTTAAAGTGTAAACTTAAATATTCCAGTCGGTGCCGTCGTGCAAATAGATTCGATATTAATGGAGCTTCACCGCCTTGCCCCGTGGCGTGAGAAAATTCGCGCGAAACGCCCCGTAACACGACGCCGCTCCACCTTAACCGAGAAATCAGGGTCAAACCGCTCGAGCGCCCTCGGCGTTTTTCTTTCGAACAGAACAGAGGAGGAGAGTTGACCGTTCGCAGGTGATTCATGGCTACCTTGAGGAAAGTTCAAGAAGCCATTCCGCGCGAATTTAAAAGCTCTTTTATCCTGATTGCTTGCCGGACTCCTTCGACTGTTTGTTCAACTTCCCGTGATTATATTACTTACCTACGTTCTCGGACTTTGCTTCGATCGGCGACGTTTATTCAGAGAACATCTGAGTTAAGTTCGTTCACCGATAGCTGGCTTATAGACGGATCGTTTTTCAATTTGACAAATTGCTTTCTCAAATTCCTACATCCTTGAAATCTCCAAATTCTCAACATTTCTAAATGTTCAAAGTTCTGCACAGGATAGGAAAGGTGCAGTGCTGCACGAAAGAAGAGACCGATTAGAGAAAAATAAAGGAAGCTTTATTCTTTACATACCATAGCAGGCGATACGGGTCGATGGCGCGCCAAGGTGGCCGGGCACGTCGGTCCCGTGACATTGTCGCGCCCGTCGACGGATATAAACGAATATCGGGAGGAAGATCGGGGAGACGTGATGGGGTCGGGGATTACGGCGAGTCGGTAGTGGGTCTTTCCGGGGTTCGTATGATACACACACTCGTCACTCTCGTAGCTGTCTCTCGACCTCGTCGTCGCGTCACGAGGTCACGCCAAAATGGTCGACAGTTTGTGCAGGTTCGTGATCGTCATCGCGTCACCGGGTTGTAGCCTCAACGCTTCGCTGTAAGCTGCCGCTGCTTGCTTGTATTTCCGGTTCAAATGAAGAATCGCCCCGAGATTCGTGTGGCTGCGGGCCTCGTGCGGCCTTAACCTCGCCGCGTGTCTGTACCACACCTCGGCTTCCTCGAGGCGGTCCGCTTGACGCAGCGCGGATGCAGCCGCCATCGACAGCTCGTAATCGGATCTCGAAAGTTCGGCCGCGCGAAGCTGCTCCTCCGCTGCTTCCGACAGTCGACCCTGCGACGTCAGGAACAGTCCTGGAAATCGAAGAAATTCACTGTACTTTTTCTGACCCTTTCTGGACACTTCAAATCTTTCAACTTTCACGATCGAATTCGGTTGGACTGAATTTCTATCTCCTAACTCTTGGTACATTCCAGAAGAAGATTCACCCCTTAACTTTTAATTATTGCCACAATGTTGAGACAAATAAATAAGATGAAACATTAAGTACACTTTGAATTTAGGAAATATTGATAATGCTAATGTAATTTTGATTTGATGTGCCTGAACTGTAATGTGCGTCTCGAATGACATGGTATTATAGGTCAAAGTAGGACAAGAGGTCAAGCGAGATTTTTCTGAGAGGATCTACCGGAGTAAGTGATAGATAAACACGATTTTATTTCGCCGTCCGATGTGGCAGTACCGTATAAATAAGGCGTGGTCAAGGATTCTAGCGTCTCGGATATTTCGCCGAGATGGCGACCGTAAATTTCGGCGTGATATATCGCGCTACGTTCCGCGGGCCACTGCCTAATGACGCGTGCCACTAAGAGAGATAAACCGCGCGGTTTCTTGCGTCCGAAAAATCCTGCTCGAGCGTGACTCCTTTCGACGAGTAGATTAATCTCGAGCGCAAAGAATCGGTCTGTCGTTCACGATTTTGAAAGTGGTAAAAAGTTGAAGGAGAGAAGAGGAACATCGTGACGAACCAAAATGAACTTCAGAATAGAAAAGATTAAAAAAGAAACGAATAACAGGACACAAAGACATGAAATATCGTTACGTTTTCACGAAATTTCAATATCTTTTCATTTTGCACTCTTTTGTTGATTAGAGAGTTCCCCGTTTCTTTTCATCCCTCGGGAAAGCATTATACAAGTATTTATAACAACCCGAACAATCTACGATCCTCTTATCTTCCTTATTAAAAGAATCTCGAAAAATCTCGGTGGCTCGTCCTCTTCACGGGGGGTTTGTTTTCTTTTGTTTCGACGCCGAGGGAATTCGTAATGTCCTCGAGGCGCGAAAAGTTTCCGGGGAATCAATTATTCGGTCGCTACAGCGGGTCAGAGGATGAACCTGTCGGCTACTCCAATTTGCTCGACCAGCACACGAACTAATGTATTATGTCGCTTTAATAATGGATGTGCCTGTCCTTGTGTCGTATTTATAAGTTCTATATTTTCTTATCGTGGCTCTTTAACGTCGTGTACTTGCTGACTACCGTTTAGAAAGGATTTCAATTTCGTGTGAGGGAGTGAAGTTCCCAATTGCTACGATTATGCTTACCGTAATGATGGTGCACGCTCGAGTCATCCGGCGCCAACCTACGGGCTCTCAGGAACCATCTTTCAGCCTCCAGAACGCGGCTCGACTGTAAAACGAAACACACACTCCATCAAATAAATTGTTACCGTCATTGCTGTTGCTAGAAATATTTGTCTATACATTGTAGTTCGATACAGATGGTAAAAATCATACAGGACAGAAGAATCAAAATATTTGTATTAATTGCAGTCGTATTTGAATGAAACTAAAATTGTTTTAAGCGAAGAAAGTTTATTTGTAAGCCATGAAAGATGGATTTGAAATTTTACTGCGGCTCTCTACGATCTCGAAGAGGCGGACAAACGAAAATTCATTGGGTACGCGATACGGAGGCCAATGTTTATCGGCGAATCGTTCGATTACCCTCCGCGTCGTTTACCGGTATTGACTTTTCCATTGACCCATCCGGTGAATCTCGTGATTTACACGGCTATCCACGAGGACTTCCTATCCCGGCTGAACGACGCGACGTTCGAGGGAAGACAAAAAGCGACGCCCTTACAAAACAAACCGTAACAAATCGGAAGCTAACTTTTCGCAGGATATTTTCCTGGCTGTTGTTTTCGATCCGGTTGCTTGTTTGCGTTCGGATACCTTTTTTCGCTGTTTTTCCGCGGGGGTAACGATTTCGAAATTGTGATTTAAAAATAGAAAGCAGAAAGAACGGAATAAAGAACGCGTATCGCTTCGTTTATTACGAGTAGTCACAGTTTTTCTTCTCCCGGTCGGTAAAGTCCTTCTCTCGGTTTATTATATTTTCTTTCGCATCGCGGCGTGCATTGGGTTTTCTGTGCCTCGCGTTATTATGGTCAATAACCATTGTCGTGCGTTACGATGAAAAACGTTGTACAATTAACGTGGAGGAATTAATTAAAATTTATCGTATGTAAAGTGGCTGGCCTGTTTCACGGATAATTAATTTAAAATCATTTTATAACAATGGGTTGCTTGAATGCACCACGGGACCGATAACAAATTAGTAATTCCGTTGGTTATTATGATTTCAAACAATTAAGTGTATTATGTAATTGACGGGGAATGTTTACTCGTCGTTCGCGTTAAACAATACGATTGATTAACACATTCGTGACCGATGATACGGCTTCCGAAATTCTATTTTAGAAATCTGTAATTTTCATTGCGCCAAATTAATGAGTCGACGCATCGTTATACCATTTACCCATCTTGTGATCATGTATTATCGAATTAAAACTGCCTCATTAACGAAACGAGGAGGGAATATTCGTGCTCTCTTACCGAGTTCATCACCAACGAAAAGAAAACACAAGCAATTTCGACCGATTCGAGAGTCGCTCCACGTTCCCGATGCAGAGTTAATTGATCGCAAACCGTCGGTACATTTGCAAAAGGAAAATACAAGCTCGTTTCGTGAACGAGACACGTACGCTAGGAACATGATGGGTCTCGAATCTCTTCTCGGCTCAGTGAGCGTAATCGTCCGTTGTGTTAGATATGTTTTCACGAGAAATACCGGTTTCCGGTCAACGATTGGCCTCCCTGGAACATGGAACGGTCTCTGAATCGAGCAGAATCAGCTTAAACGCGCGCTGTTTCCCGTCAGCGGCTGCTTCCCTTTAAGTGATGTGGGTCAACCGATTCTCCGGCCTATCGTTCGATCCACCGAGCCAGCGTGTCGGCACCGAAATAGTACTAACTACTTACGTGCCGAGCCGAAGGTTCGCTAAGTGATGTGGGTCGGTACGTGGTCAGACTCGCGGAACGAATCACCTGCAATCCGGGTTATCAGGAAATGTCGTTTGTCGTTTCATATTCGGGACGATAAGTCTCCGACCTCGATCGACGTGATTTCTCCAAAAATACTCGATTCTACCTTCTCGAATTTTTCATTGCTGTACCAAAATACCTGATACTCCTTATAGGAGTATAACTTTACAGCACCGAAAAATTCGAGACTCCTTATACTCCTATAAGGAGTATTCTAATCAATAATTGATAATTGATGCTCTTTATAATTTCTAATTTATCCGAAGAGAGGTATTACATCTGTTTGAAATAGAAAATGCGAGGAAAGACAAGAAATCTCATTACCTCAAATTATGTCTGACAAGATATAAAATGTGGTTAAATTGAAGCAGCATACTTTCTCTCCAAAGTAACGAACAATTTAATAAGGGATGCTATGCAGCTCGGATATGATCCTTTACGCAGGAAGTAATTAGCGAATGAAATATTCATACTTCAGTAGGTTGCAGCGTAAAGCGGAATATTTCAATTTCGCATACCGGATAATTGTAAGTCATCAACCGCCATATAAATGCATCTAATTTAGAAATTCGACCAGTTGAGAATTTTATTTCTGAGATACTCCGGCGAACAATTTTCCTCGAGGAAATGAGGGTTTACCAAGAAAAATTGTAGAACGAAAGAAATGAAATTGTCCTTCGAGTATCACTTCGGAACAGTATCAAACGTTGTTTTGAAGACGAGTATCCTTTGATACGAGAAGTTTACCGAATGCCTGGCTAGATCGTACGTGTTTTTCTTTGGCTGATATCTCGAGTCGATAACCACGCCGGTATCTCGGGCATCGCGAAATTCCGTTGAACGATATCGGTCGAGCCGCGGTAAACTTGGAAACTGGATCTGCTCTCTGATGAAAGAGAAGCGATCCAAAACTGGTAACTACTTACGTTTCGGGCCAAAAGTTTCCCGTAAGTGATGTGGGCAGGCACGTGGTCAGGCTGGCTGGCCAAACTTGCTTGGAACCACCTTTCTGCCTCCGCGTACCGTTGCAGCCTCGATAGAGTTTCACCCAGCAGATTGTAAACGCTCTGTAACACGGGATTAAACCATCAAAACCGGTACTTTTTACTTCCCTTCTCTTTTTTAATCTTTCCTCAGTTCGAAGGTTAACCTTAGAAGATTAACCCCTTGCCGTACAATTTATTTGCTAAACGCGTCAATCAAAACTATTCATAGCTATAATATTGAAACAAGTGAAGAAAACTAAAATGTATTTTAGCAATCTCTGACTATATATAGTTGGGCCTAAATTTGAAGTTGAAGAGTATTACAAATTTTAACAGGGTTTCATATTTGAACTGTGAGTGCGTGACGAAGGAGACTCGTCAAAGGCCAAAGGTTAACATCAAGATCAGATTTTTGTATTCAGAAAGGAGGAGCATATTTTCGTGTGCATCAGGTTTATCGTGTCTATAGATTCTTAATAAAGTAATCTCTTAACCCACTTCTCTCCCACTTCGTTCGGAATACTTTCGTCCTTATTCCGCAATAAAAGAAAAAAGCAAGTCATAATCTCGGGCATCGGAGGTTAAATAAAACAAGGAAGAAAGAGAACATCGTAACGAGCAGCGTGAGGAGCAATTAATATCGGTCGGTACGATAAATCCGCAACGGTAGAAAGTAATTGGCTCGAAAGGTGGAGAATCAGTTTCGGAAGTTTTCTGATTTTCAGGACCAACGGCTGCTGTTAATGGCTGACGAAACTCGGGGCGAGCCACCACGGTTTCTCACGTACACACGTGTGCACCCTTACGTGTACACATACGAGGAAACACGTAGGTCTGGAGAGGTGGTCGGCGGGGGTGGCACGTATAGACGAGAACAAGATGGGAACACAAACGACTGCGAGCGTTACGGAACGACTAACACCGAAAAGCTTCTTTCCGAGCACACGGGGGCTTGGCCTCGCGTCCCAGAGTTGTAGACTAAAACTTTTATGATTTTGTTCGTGCCGGGTGTGCTGGCTGGAAGAAGCAAAGTAAAGGAAAAGAGGAAGGAAGGAAGGAAGGAAATGCCCGAGGAGAAGTCTTTCGCGGGCGGAGAAGACAAATGGCAAAGAGCATCGGAGAAGGAGAACCAGCTCGAATATCCAACTGACTCGACGGACTCGATTGCCCCGTGATTCGATGGATCCCGCGCCCGTTCCCGTAGAAATTCTTGCTATCCGATCGAGCCAGAGTAATCTGCAGCAATTCGGTAAGGAATCGCGCGATTCATAAGAATTCGATCAACGACGCTACGCGTCATCGATGATTTATCGCTTACCATCCGATTCTTTGTTCAACGGGGATGGCTTCGAGAACCCCGTCAAATTGAATATCCACTTGGATCGATTCGAATCTAACTTTTCCGGAATTAAGAAATTTCCGGTGTCTTTAACGTGTTCGCGTTACTGCCGTTTCTCGGCTTTCCAGTAACAAATGGTTATGTACTTTCTTCAACTTTTCTTTATGCTACCTGCACGGTAACGTTCTTGGTATTGATGGATAATCAATCACTTCTTTTGCAAAGTTCTAATTTCTGTACTTGGTGTTTGTTTAGTTTTCATTTTATCCATTTCACTATTTTGGCGTTTGATACTTTGATGGATTATTTTATTTAATGTTTAGCAATTTGACTGTTTTGATAGTTTGATGGTTTGGTAGTTTGAAGACGTGACAGTTGGACAGTTTAACATTTAAATTGACTATTTTATTTAATATTTAACAGTTTGATTATTTTGATAGGCTGATAGTTTGATAGTTTGACAATTTGAAGACATGACAGTTCGATAGTTTAATATTGTAACAAACTAATTATTTTATCTAATATTTAACAATTTAATTGTCTTGACAGGCTGATAGTTTGATAGTTTGACAATTTTAAAACATGACAGCCCGACAGTTTAACGTTGTAACAAATGAACTATTTTATTTATTATTTAACAATTTGACTGTCTTGATAGGCTGACAGTTTGATAGTTTGACAATTTTAAAACATGACAGCCCGACAGTTTATCGTTGTAACAAATTAACTATTTTATTTAATATTTAACAATTTGACTGTTTTGATAGGCTGATAGTTTGATAGTTTGACAATTTTAAAACATGACAGCCCGACAGTTTAACATTGCAACAAATGAACTATTTTATTTAATATTTAACAATTTTACTGTTATGATAAGCTGATAGTTTGATAGTATGACAATTTTAAAACATAACAGTTTGGCAGTTTAACGCTGTAACAATTTGACAATATAATAATTTGGGACTCTAACAATTTAACAAGCTGACAGCTGCACCGTTTTATAATTTGCCAGTTTAACAGTATGAATGAATAAGCTCTAAAGCCGTAAATTTGTGTATCGATCGTGAAGGCTATAGGGGTCTTAAAAGCGTGGAAGCCATGACAATTTTAAAACATAACAGTTTGGCAGTTTAACGCTGTAACAATTTGACAATATAATAATTTGGGACTCTAACAATTTAACAAGCTGACAGCTGCACCGTTTTATAATTTGCCAGTTTAACAGTATGAATGAATAAGCTCTAAAGCCGTAAATTTGTGTATCGATCGTGAAGGCTATAGGGGTCTTAAAAGCGTGGAAGCCTGAAACGTTCCTTAAAAAGCATCGACTTCTTAAGAAACCTTTATATCGCGATCGCGTACGTGATGTATGTACGTACGCATTTCTGGCTTTCGAAAGGTGAAAGCAATTCCACGGCTCGAGGAAAGTGGGCGCGTCGTCAAAGAACGCGTGCCTTTTTACAAAGTGCGGAGGTTGCTCGCATTGTTTCGCGTCATTATTCACTTGAACTATTTCCGCGGTCGCGATCTCGCTAAAATCAGCACGATCGAAGTGTCAGGACCTGTCATTCTGACGGAATCAGAAGTTGTGACGCGTTACAGGATTATTCGATTTTAATATCTCAGCAGAACACCGCAGAAAGGATTCCGCTTTGATCGAGGAACGTCCTTTTTTTTTTCGAAAGACCTTTCGTCGCGACGCGTCGTAAACCGCTCATGAATTTTCTTTCTGGCACAGTTCCTTCGGTGAAATAGTAACGATACGAGTTCGCAACGCGTTGAATAATTCGCCGTCAAAGCGTGGACCGCAAGCGATGAAAAATTGAACGAACCCGGTCGAAACCGCGAGAGAACTCGCGCCGCAGCGACCGGGCGCTAATGCGCTCGAGAAAAGTAAATACAGGGACGAAAGAATGCGGCTCCCCCGAGGGTAAGTTGCGAGAGGTCTCGAAACTCCATTGTGCCGAGTCATTATTCACTTGGACTACTTTTCGAGAAGAGTATTACGCGCCGCCGCTTTCAGCCGTCGGGATACCACCGCTTCAAACCGACGAGATGCATGTCTTTTGCATGGCCGACGTCGTCCGTCGCCATTATTCTCGCAAAATCGCCTCCTCGAAACGTCTTCTCGAAGAATTCCACGCTTCGATCTGCACCGCGTCGGGAAACGAACGTTGTAGAGGATCGAACGTTCCCGTGAAAAGACGCTCTTTCGTCGGGGACGTCAAAGGGACCTGACAATCGATTCCCCAATCGAGTTTCCTCCTAGAAATACTGACTATGAAACACAGCATTTTCCTTTGCCAATCGACGCTTGCTGTTGTACACCTGGAATCTAGTTTACAGTTCGAGCATAGTTTGACGGGGTGACGATAGTTGGAGCACGTACTTTACCACGTATGTTTCATTCATTAACGATCCTGATACTGTAACTGCAATGAACTAACTTATTCAATGATACTGACACATACGTGCAGTTCAACAATACATCACATATGTACATATTCTTCACATATCAATTTTTGAGTCAAGTTCAATAATAGATCACATATGCACATATTCTTTACATATCAATTTTTGAGTCAAGTTCAATAGTATATCACATATGTACATATTCTTTACATATCGATTTTTGAGCCAAGTTCAACAGTAGATCACATATGCACATATTCTTTACATATCAATTTTTGAGTCAAGTTCAATAGTATATCACATATGTACATATTCTTTACATATCGATTTTCGAGTCAAGTTCAATAATATATCACATATGTACATATTCTCTTACTATAGATTTTTGAGTCAAGTTCAATAATATATCACATATGCACATATTCTTTACATATCAATTTTTGAGTCAAGTTCAATAATATATCACATATGTACATATTCTTTACATATCGATTTTCGAGTCAAGTTCAATAATATATCACATATGTACATATTCTTCACATATCAATTTTTGAGTAAAGTTCAATAATATATCACATATGCACATATTCCTTACATACCGATTTTTGAGTCAAGTGGATAATGTGGACATGTGGTTTTTAATGACTGATTTAAAAATATGAAAATACGAAGACAATTTCTATACCAAAATTTGATTGAAACTGCAATTTCAACGTTCTTTCCTTTACAATTTTGAGAAATGTATTAGCTTCAGATATGTATAAATTCTTGAGCCAAATAGGTAATTTGCACATGTGGATTTGAATGATTTAAAAATATGAAAATACGAAGACAATTTCTATACCAAAACTTGATTGAAACCGCAATTTCAACGTTCTTCTCTTTACAATTTTGAGAAATGTATTAGCTTCAGATATGTATAAATTCTTGAGCCAAATGGGTAATTTGCACATGTGGATTTGAATGATTTAAAAATATGAAAATACGAAGATAATTTCCATACCCAAAATTTGATTGAAACCTCAATTTCCACGTTCGAAAATATGGAAATTTCGAGAGCGCGTTCCACTATTTACCGTTCATACTTAACCTAAAAACTCCAATTAGGAGTTATTACAGCCTCGTTCCTGCGCAGCGCGAATGCAAAATTCCAGTGCAATTTCTGTGTAAAAGCACGATATTCTAAATTAAGAGAAGACATAACAATGTACAGAGAACCGTTATTAATATTACAGTAGCAGTACCATGTAACTGAATTATGTAATTTTTCCAGGGGCTAACAAAACAACTCTGTTTTACGGTCGAGGAAATGAGAGTGTTCTCCGCGAAT